GGGAGCAGCCTATCTCAGAAAATGCCACAGGTAACAACTTAAGAAAAGGCTCATACTGGAAACAACAATACACTTGACAAATGGCAATCATTGTTGCATTTAAATAGAGTTTTGAGTGCACCTTTTAAATTCTACCATCTTTGGATAAGTAGTGTGGCTTTGAATAGTAGGTTGCCCACCTAGTGAAAGAAATCTCCAAATTTGGAAACTTTGACACTATAGGCCCATAATTTTCTAAAGACCAAATATAGTTGGTTGAAAACCATTTATATTTTACAAGGGACTGTCCCTCCCCTTTCTGTGTGACTCAGCGTTGCCCCAAAGGTTGCCACTTTCATGAATGCAGATTTATTTCTTGAAACACCACCACATATTTCCAAAGAATCCTTTCTGGTAGTGCCCCTTTGTATCAAAATCTGATGGTAAACAGCTCAGTCTGGCCTCAATAGCTAAACTACCACAGCCTTCTATCACCAGCTGTTACCCCATTTTACTCCACTTCCTTTTCTTTTCCTTGCTCTATAAGTAGACCTTCAGACTAGCTCATTCTCCTTTTTATTTTTTCTTTTCCTAGCAGCTTTTCCACGGAAATCATTTAAAACTTCCAAGCTGTTTAACAAAGGCTCCCCAAAGTGTCTGTACATATGACCTAGTAGATTAACTTGGAATTCCTCGAAACTCAAATCAGATGAAGCAGTCAGGATCAATTAATATAAACTCAAACCAGTTTGCAGAAATGCCCGAAGGGGATGTGGTTGGGAAAAGTAAGGACTTCAGATTTAGGACAAGCTTAGCCCTCAATGCTTGATAAAAACATTCTTCTCTAAAAACTTTACAAGTCACTATTTACAACATTCATTGAAGATAGGAGGAGGGCTTTTGGAAAACTATATTAAAAAAAAAATATTAGCCAGAAGATGGCTTCAATAAAAGTGAAGATTAAACAGGGGGAAATAGGGGCGCCTGGGTGGCGCAGTCGGTTAAGTGTCCGACTTCAGCCAGAGTCTCAGCTGAGGTCCGTGAGTTCGCCTGCTGCCAGGCTCTGGGCTGATGGCTGAGCCTGGAGCCTGGTTTCCGCATTCCGTATCTCCGCCTCTCTGCCTCCCCTGTTCATCCTCTGTCTCTCTCTGTCCCAAAAATAAATAAAAACGTGGAAAAAAAAAAAAAAAAAAAAAACAGGGGGAAATAACCACTATTTTACCTACGTGATTGCATTCAAGCCTGATGTTTGAAGAACACACGATTTTTAAACAACTTTCTCCATGAGGAAACCTGAATACTCTTTGGATAGAAATTTCCAGAGATAAACACATCCTCACTGAGCATGTCAAAATCAATGATAGTTATGGGGATGATCACTTATTTCAGAATGGCCTGAGATTGGCTATCCTTTATCCTGGGGATGGGACACTCTTAGGTGTGGGGCTTGGGCTACAGTTGGCCAGTTCCTTGGCCCGCTTCCTAAAATGTATCCAATTAGTATTTTGACCACCTGCTACAAAACACTGGGCTAGGCATGAATGGTTCCTGCCTCCCAGCATCTGTAGCTGCTCACGGAGAGTGCACACGTGATGATGATTGCACGTGGTATGTAGATAGTTGAACACTACAGAAGAGGTGTCCTGAAGATATAAACGAAAGCTGAGGAGAGAGAGAATATTCCTTAGCATCTGAGCAAGATGTTAGTGACGTTTTGTTCTTTGTTAGTTAACTGAACTGTGGAGTTTCTATTCTTGGACCTATGGTATGTCACCACTCAGCTATTCCACTGGTGTTTAGGGAGCAGTGGGGTTGAGTTCGGATTAAAGCTCCTGGTAAAACAAACACAAAGGTTCCAGGTGGGGGAGGTGCCTTTTGAGCCTCCTATACCCACAAATGAGACAATAGCCCCCAGCATGTTTCCACCAGGAGTCAATTCTTCTAATCCTCTCCTTATGAAAAGTTACTCCCAGGTTCTAGAGCCTCTTCTTTCAAAAACTGGGAAGAGCTATAATGGGTTTTCCTGCTCTAATGCTTTGATGGCCAGTTAATTTCCTAATTTGGAGCTAATTACTAAACTGCTTAAAAATTTAAGGCACAGGCAACCATCTACTGACAAGCTTTCCATTTATCACCATGGTGTCTGAGAACATGGCCCTTAGCAGAGAAAAGCAGCTTCCTTCTCTATCACAGAACAGATACTTCCTTGTCAGTGTGGCTCTGCCAGATTAGATTATTTAATAGCCATCAGCAACCAAGTTGCTCTCTTCATATGTTAAAGTGACAAAGGAGTTTGAAGACTTTTAAGAGCTAGAAGCGACTCCCAGGTTTAATGCTGCATAAAACAAAACTATAAACTGCATGTTTTTTCTGTTTAAGGATTTTTATTATAAAGAAGGCTTTAATTCATAGACATTCGGAAAGAATTTTTTTGCTCCCTGTTTTGGTGGCTCTCCCAGCTAACTGGTTCCTCATTTTTATTTTTACTCACATTTTTGTTCAGAAATAGTGTGGCTGAGTTTTTGTTTTGTTATGTTTTGTTTAAACAGATGAGTTTGGAAAGTGGTCATGTTATTAAAAAGTATGTTAGTTTCACTGAGAGTTTCTTACCAAAAGCAGTAGAGAATCCAGTTTAATCTGCTTGAAAGATGAACAGTGTTGCTTACAACATAATGAGGGGTGCTACTTAAAATGATACAAGGCACATGCCCTTTGTCAGTTTCTCCAGCTGTGCCTGTCTAGCCCGGGGCTGCTCATGTGAACAGTGCCCCCTTGAGTTATGCAGCCGACTAACCAACCACTAGCCCCTTCTTACTAAAGAGCCTTTTTCTCTTCACTTGGAATTTCTTACAATCCCAATTTTGATTAAAAACATACATTTTCACATATGCATGAAAAAAGGGCAGGAAGAAACAAAAATGTTAATGCCTGAATCTCTACCAAGAGATGCGCACTCTTGACACTCTTTCTTGCTTCCAAATTTTCAACAGTGAGCATGCAGTACATAATCAGGAGAAAGTAGGATATATGTCATTTCATTTCTGAGAACTCGGTCTTCCCCAGGAAGCAGTGCATGATTAAAGACCTCCCCCCCACCTTTTTTTTTCTTTTTAGTTTCACTCCTACATGGACTTCAGGTAACCATCTAATTCCCAATTCTGTGCCTAAACTAGAATTACCTCTCACTTTGCACTTCCCATGGCACTCAGGCCTTCCCTGAGAGGTTTACACAGAAGAGACAAGTCCTTTGAGAGGTAGGCTGCAGTGGTGAGCAGAGGAAAAAGGCAGTCCCTAGAAGGACTTCTCTATCCCAAACCCTCCAAAGGAGGAATAGAAATAGACTAGAAATGCCATAAGGACTGTCACAGAGCACTGAAGGCCTGGCAGGAGCTGGAAAGCCTAAGTTTATGAGGGAGCTAATCAGAATGGTTATTTGATCTCTTTCCCACAGTGCTTGGGGGCCTAGGTGCAGTTGCAGTGAAAACAGCTGGCTTAGCTGTTAGAGACCTGGAAATGAGGTCACAGAAAACAGAAAGGGGTAAGGGGCCCGTGCCTGGACAGGCAGGGCAGAATGGGACTGAGCTGATTCACTCAGAGGTCCCCAAGGCAGGATCCAAACACAGCCATTACTGTGAGCTCTGGGTCTCTCTCTCTACAGCAGGCAGCAGAGGCCATGGGGCGGAGGTCAAGGAGGTGGCCTTTGTGCTGAGTACAGAGGGAAACTGGTGATGAACTCTCAGCTAAACCAGAATAAGGCATTTTGGAAGGTGGCTAGAGAGGAGGCCCAAAAGAGATGCAGGAGGCAGGGAGGCGGGGAGGAGGGGCTTCAGGAACAGCTGACCTAATCTGGGGGCTTGGACATGGGGTGGAGTGGGCTTGAGCAAGCAGCTCAGGTAAAAGGAGAATATATTTAGAGAGTACTGGAGACATACCAGAGGTTTATACCGGAATGATACAATGTTGATGACATAAACCAAGGAGAGCCTGAAGTATGGTTACAGGTACTGTTAAGGTAAAACACAAAGCATTAATAAAGGATAAACCAGACAACTGTTCAATTTGGGGAATTAGAAAGGTTATACCTAAGTCAGGATACTGTACATTTTGTAAGACATACTTTCATAGGTTTTGGTTTCCTTCATCAAATTTTCATAGCCTGAAAGTTTGACATAAGTACGAATTTATTGACATCAATTTCCTTAAGCTATTATTCCAACACAGAGAAGGTACTGAAGAGCTGTGATAATAAGACAATGATAATAAACCCACAAGATCTGAAGTTTGCAAGACCCACTCCCTCTGAGAGAGAGAGAGAAAAAATACGAATAAGTCTTCAAAAAGAATCTGGAGACTGCTTTCAATTATAGCAAGAAGGAACGCCAGTTTGACAATTTAAGCATTTTATCCAGAAACATAGATCTATTCCATAGATACCAAATCGATTACCATATAATTGAGTTTGAAAATATACAAAATATTTGTTGTTCTTACATACTGAAATTAAAACCTAATTTTAAAAAGTGCACAGTAAAAACAGCATAAGGAAACCTACGATATCCATGATACATGTATTGTTGTCCATTGTACTGTCAACATCAAATTCTGTATTTGCATTACTGGTTACAAATATACTTTAAATGTTTCAAGGCCATTTACAACACTGACTAGTTTACTAGGTCCAAAAGCAGCCCAGCTCCCTGAAGGTGGCCAGCACTGGGCACTGGACACTGGACAAGCAGTCTGGGTCCTGCAGCTCCACGCAAAAGTAGCAGCTTTGGAAGGAAGTCGCCAACCATCTATGTGTAAACTATCGGCTCTTGTTCTTTTTAGAATTTCCCTGTGCAAAGAAAAATATCAACAATAAGAACACAGACTTCTAGAAAAGTAACCCAGAGTTTACAGGCCAAGCTCTCTGGAAGGCTTGGCCTTCCAGTGGAAGCACTGTGGAAAACTTTAGCTTCCAAGACAGAGTACAGCTGGTAACCCTGCATTGCTAACTTTTATTCCGTAATCAAAAAGCAGTTGATCACTTTTAACTCCCCCACTAGCTATCTCCACGACCCCTATCTGCCTGAGGGCTAAGAATCGGCAATAAAGAAAGAAAGCAGAGCTATCTTGGATTTACCAAACCTCAAAAATTCATTTTGATCCAAAGACAAGGAAGTTTATGATTTCAGCCTAAACATGTTCTTAGCCTAAACATGTTTCCTTGTTGCTTAATAAATACCTTTTAAAGGTCTTAATAGATGCTAATTTTGAGTATGTGCCAACTAACGCCCCAGTGGAAATGATCATCTGAAAAAGGAAGCTCAGATACTGACTGAAAACTCAGTGGCAGATGTCTTACCTTATTCCCCATCTCCTCACATACGGCGATTTGGACTTTCCAGTTTTATGAACTTCTTTCTGGAGAAGCTCACTTTTTAGGAATACATTCTAACTAAATTCCTATACTTAACCATTACTTACAAATATATTTTTGTCATGTATGTGGGAAATGTCTGCAGAACACAAATATTTATAACAAGAGGATAGCAAACAAAATGGTTCCAAGATGTTTACTTGGTATCCAATGGAGACCCTGTCAACTCAGCTGTAAGATGATTCTATAGCAACCTTAATTACTAATAAACGGCGGGTGGAGGTGGAGGGGCAAAATACAGGGATCACAGAATGATCAAAAAAAGGTTAACAAAATAAACTACAACATGAGGAAGGATCTCAAGCTCAGCATTTCATTAAGGACGTATTTTAAGGACTAGATTAAAAAGTTCAGAGAGAACTTGAAAATTCCCTAATCTGCTAAAGTAGCTGCAATACAGTTACCTTCGGGACAATGAACTTTGCTGTAGTCAACATTCATCCCTTTCAATTCAGAACAAATGTCTTCTGCACCCTGAAGTCTGCCACTTCTTTCCAAATGTTAGGAGCTAAAACAGGCTTTCTCATAATACTCATACTAATGTATGTGCTTTCTACCATCAACCTGTGAGCTAGCTGTTGCCCTCCTGTAACACCAAGAAAGAGGCCAAAAGAGTTACGGGGAGGCATTACTTAAGGACCAACCCCCACCCATCACCTCCGAGCTCGTTTCCTGAAGCAAAAGTAACTGGAGAACCACAATCAAACTCACACTGTCTGGTTACCATCATCACAAGATGTCCCAGAAAAGTATCACAGACATTCTCTTGCTTTCTCCAAAGCGGCCAGGGGCCAATCAGTATCATGAGGCTACACCGAGAAATGGTATTATATAATGCAGATGCCAATGCACTAACAGGATATATTTCCCAAGGAGACACCAACTGAGCAGAATGCTGCCCTCACCACCACTAGCCGATGTTAAATAAAGCTATAGTTTGTTCATTTCTATTTCCTCCCCAGTGCTAGCAGCACATAGAAGGAATGGCTGCTAAGTCAATAAGAGGCAGCAGCAGATTTCAAAGAGCACAGGTTAGAGACAGTAAATCCCACCTGGCAGTGGTACAGTATTGTCTGAGTTACAAAACATGCTAAGTATCTGAGAGGCTTCCTAAAGCCTGTCTTTCATGGTAAAAGAATATATACATTATATGACAACAATAGAGACATGATATGTAGATATACACTTTAATATAAGGATAGTACTAATATCTGTTGATCTCAAGACTGGACAAGCAGTGGCTTTATGGAAATGAAAGCAAAAGAAAATTTTGCAAAAGGACAAGACATCCCTAGCTTTATGGATGTGTATGAAAATAAATCTGCTAAAGAAGGGCACTCTTCAACAGCACCATTTTAGTTTCATGGGTGGCTCAGTCGGTTAAACTTCTGACTTTGGCTCAGGTCATAATCTCACAATTCACAGGTTCAAGCCCGTATCGGGCTCTCTGCTGTCAGCTCAGAGCCCACTTCAGATCCTCTGTCCTTCTCTCTCTGCCCTGTGCTCTCTCTCTTTCTCTCTCTCTGTCCCGCCCCCATGCACATGCTCTCTCTCTCTCTCAAAATAATAAACACTAAAAAAAAAAAAAAAAACAATTCATATCATAACCTGCCTAAAGAGTCCCCCTAAATGATAAAATAGTAGAATGCCAAAAATGCCCAAAATCAAAGGACACAGTATTATTAAAGGCCTTAGAGGTCAGACCTCCTCTCAACTTATAATTCAAAGAAACTGAATTTTACTTTTGGATAACAGGACAAATTGTGTGAAGAATAATTATTTAAAAATACTTTAAATCTCTTAACCTTTGCTCCTGAAATGCATAGCAATGAAATACTTCATATTACATATGAAATACTGTATGTGAGAGACCTCCTCCTTCCCCTTCCCTACCTTACTGGACATCTTCAGTGTGTCAATCTCTTCTCTCTGTTTAGATAATGTCTCGTTCATGCTGCACAGGTGGTCACTCATCATACTTAACTGATCCTCATAACTCCTCTTGGTAGTTGTCAGCTCATCCTAAATGGCAAAGGAACAGAGGGAAAAAAGACAAATCAAAACCCCCCTAGTCACCCACCTCAAAGCTTTTTTAATTTATGAAAGAAATTTGAAAAAAGCAACCTATCAAGATGACCTATCTGATCAATTAACATAAAGGACAAGCCATAGGCCTTAACAAAATTAAAACAAATGAGGGGAAAAGTTTTTCTTCTTTTCAGCCTTCAAAATAGGTTTTGAATTTCTTTGCAAAAAGACTTTCCTTCTACCTCAGGTATAAAATTGTGACAAAGAACAAGAGGGCTACATTGTCTTTCCAACTCTCCTCAGGTTTTCCCCAAGCCTCAAGGCCCTCAGCCCTCAGGGCAGGACCCTCCTTGGAGGAAGCACCTTTGTCTTCCCATCTCTCTGCTTGCTCCAGCCCCTTAAAATCTAATCCTGTGCTCCTAGCTAATCTGATTAACTAATCTGAAATTAGGAGGGGGCAGGTGTTGCTGTGCTAATGTGTTTTTTTCTCTACCTATATCACGTTTATATTTAACAGAGGCTTTCTGGAAACAAGGCTTTTAAAACAGACCAGTGAGGAAGGAGGAATATTCTGCAGCCCCACCTTTCAGTTCAGGTCAGTTTTATGAAATGGTAAAGAGAAGAATCAGAGTCATGTGAACAGAGCAAGTGTACAGCCCGTCACAACGGAGATTAGCACGGGGAATGGGGAGGGAGGACTGGGGGTACATAAGTATCATTTAAGGAAATGCTGACTATAAAGCTATTCAAAAGAAAATCAAGTCAGAGAAAGAAGCAATACACAACTTTCTGCCTGACATAAGTTACTTTAAAATGAGTTAGAACTAAAGTGGTTAGAAAAATGCATGTCTACAGGTCAAATGCCACTACTTTTGAAAGGAAACGCTGACTTTGCTGCCCAAGAACTTTCAGTGAAAACCGTATTAACATTGTGTAGGTAACACTTCTGAACTCACCTGAAGTCTGCTGATGTTCTGACCAGCTACTTTCATCTCTTCCGTCAGTGCCTCTTTAGACTTTTCGGCCAAGGCCAGTCTCTTAGAGAGTGCTCGGCACTGTTAAATTAGAAAACATCCCATTATCTCAGGGGGCATTTCCCCCAAACCAAATTCACTTTAGGCCTGTACCACACACTGAAGGACACAGAAAGATGTGGTCCCTCTCACCACTTTAATAAGCAAAAACATCTACTAACCCAAGCTCACCAAGATTTTCCTAGCTCTAGCCTGACAACCAGTGGTTACAAAAACTTAAGAAGTTGGGGGTTTTTTGTTGTTTAAGAATTTATTTATTTTTAAATGTTTATTTATTTAGGGGAAGAGAGAGAGAGGGTGCATGCGTGCATATGAGCAGGGGAGGGGCACACAGAGAAGGAGAGAGAAAATCCCAAGCAGGCTCCATGCTGTCAGCACAGAGCCAGACAGGAGGGGAGTAGGGGTGCTTGATCTCATCACCCATGAGATCATGACCTGAGCTGAAATCAAGAGTCAGACACTTAACCAACTGAGTCACCCAGGTACCCCTAAAAATTTAAGTAATCTCTATACCCAATATGGGGCTTGAACTCACAACCCCAAGATCAAGAGTCCCATGCTCTAGTAACTGAGCCAGCCAGGCACCCCTTAAGAAGTTTTTTACATTTACCCAGGATTCATTTATACTCAAACTGGATGAGAACAGAAGTGGTTATTTCAAAAGTTATCAATGATTAGTCAGTCAGAGAAAGATAAAAATCATATGACTTCACTCATATGAGGACTTTAAGAGACAAAAGAGATCAACATAAGGGAAGGGAAACAAAAATAATATAAAAACAGGGAGGGGGACAAAACAGAAGAGACTCATAAATATGGAGAACAAACTGAGGGTTACTGAAGGGGGGGGATGAGCTAAATGGGTAAGGGGCACTAAGGAATCTACTCCTGAAATCATTGTTGCATTATATGCTAATTTGGGTGTAAATTTTAAAAAACTAAAAATAAAATTAAAAATAAATAAATAAATAAATAAATAAATAAATAAATATGTTTAAAAAAAAAGTTATCAATGGCATCTGACTTTGCAATATGAATCCTAAGGCAATTTTCTCGTGTTTTAAGTCCTCTGTTATAGAGACCACATTACAGGAACAATAAAAGCTTTACAGTCCCAGGCTACAGATTAGGCTCAATCTACAGGGAATATGAAGTCAGTGTAGGAATCTGAAGATCCCAGCTGCTTTCTCTGGGGTTCTACCAAAGCTGGGCTATCCAGAGACAGAGCTCATCAAGAAGAGAAAAGAAAAATTCTGTTTCTCACTATTGTTTAAAGACAGTGTGCCATCAAAGGATCACTAAACTTTCTGATAAGGCCGAGAGACTGACAAGGAGGATCTGTTGAGACACATCTGAATCTGTGTCGACATCACTCAGACTAGCCATTCCAGTAAAGTCATACGGAGGGCTCACCACTTCCTGTTTACAGACGAGGAAAAACTAGGACAATGTAAAAATTGTTGTTATCACATTGTGCTGAAAACATTTCCCAAGATAAGCAAATCTCTTGGAAATGAAACAGCCAACACTCCCCAGCTACTCATTTCATTCCTCACAAGAGAATTCCACCAAATCAACCACCATTTATTAACCAAACATCTACTATGTGCTCGGCACCAAACCTAAAAAAGAGGGAGAGATTTGCAAGGCACGGGTCCTCAGAAAGACGACAATCCGGTCTGGGACACTAACTCCAAAGGCAGTTAGGGATCCAAACAAGGACATGGTTGCACGGCCTCAGAAGCTCGGCACCACAGCAGCACCAGCGTAGGTCAGCCAGTTCGCTGTGCTCCCCATTTTCTATAGCCCAACAAGCAGTCACTCTTATTAACTGATCAAAGAGGTGTGGAATGGTGGTTTGTGAACAGCATGCACCTAGGCACATCATTTCTTCCAGCAAGAAGAAAAGAAGCAAAGTCCCTCTCCACATCTAGCAACTGGCTTCCTATCAACCCCTCTATCTCCGTAGTACAGTAGAAAATCACAAAGTCAGGTCCCAGTACTGGGTGTTGTCTTTTCTTTCCCAATTTCTTTAACAATTTATTTATTTTTTTAAGTAGGCTTCACACCCAGAGTGGAACCCAGTGTGGGGCTTGAAGACCCTGAGATCCAGACCTGAGCTGGGAGCAATGGTCAGACGCTTACCCAACTGAACCACCCAGGCGCCCCTCAATCTCTTTAACAACTTAAAGCATTATAATTCTCTGTCTGACATCTAAAACTGACCTTTAGTGTACAGTTTTAAGTGAGAGACCTTACAGGTATTCTTATAGGTTGAGCACATCCATTCTATTGCTGCACTTTCTTGCTTCATTCTCTCCCTTCTAATTAATGAACTGGTGTAGGATGTTATTGAGTATCTTGCATAGGGTTTTTCTAATTCTCCTAAGAAAATGAGTTATTTGGTTAGGGAAGAAGAAAATGTAACAAAAAGATTATATATCAAAGGTTAAAAAAGGTCACATTTTATCATTTATAGGATTTTATCACTTATTCATTTTATCATTTATAGGAACTCGTTTCTACAACTTGTCACTTAGGAAAAAAAGAACCAGTCATATTTTTTTAATTTCTTTGCATAAAATTCCTTGACTTGTGAACATCTACCTGCCTATAATTCTCTAAAACAAGCAATCTCTAGCAATAATGCCCCAAACATATATTATGTGACCATAGGAAAGGTGACTGATAAGTCTCTCAACTGTCTTTCGGTAATTTGGAAATAACAAATCAGTCCCTATGTACTGAAATGAGGATGTGGGGTTGGATGCAGCCTGACCAATATGAACTCCAACCAACTTCACACGGATGCATAGACACGAACTTCTCTCTTCGAATGAATAGCAGGAGACCAGGACAGTGACCTAATTGCTGACAGGGTGAGGAAAAAGCCCCCAAATCTAATTAAGTCTCCACTCACCTCGGCGTAAAAATGCACTGACTTGCTGTCAGCCAGCTGCAGTTGAGATGTCAGCTCCACTATCCTTGCCATGTAGTGATTTTTAATTAAGTCTTCACGAGACTCCACATCTGGAACCTGAACAGAGCACACATAACTAACTAAATAAATGCCAGTGAGATGAAGCAGTTCCAGAAAAGATTACCATCACTCCAAAAGAAAAAAGAAAAGGACAACATTTTGTACACATTCATTTTAAATCGGATAGGGAATCATAGTTTTCCTACCCCTCAAAGAAACTTCAGACAAGCCAGGTAAATGTGTATTCTAAATACCTCTTATTCTGCATTTCTGCCTATCTCACAATAAGGTCGTGGCTTCAAAAGAACAGGGCATAAGTGAAGTACTGGGAGGCCCACTACCTCTGGAGTCATGTCCCTCCATCCAGCCTTGAGAAGCCACAGACCTGTCTGACACCTACATCCTCTCCAACCGGAAGAAGGCAGGGGAAAGGGAGCATTGTTGGAACCCCTAAAATCTGAACATTCTTTTTTCCCCTCAAATTATCTTAAGACAGCTCTAATGTTCTTAAACACACTAACCAATGAAACCATTTCTATTCTGAACAGTTTATGGGCCTTGTCCCACACCAGTATTTCCTCTAGTTACTCTAGCAATGGTATGTTATTGAGTTTTAAGTTTAAAAACACAGAGAAATTTCAAGATTACCTAAAGTAAAAGGCCAATAGGGAAATCGAATTTACCAACCTACTTGAACTATATTTACCAGCTTGCTATACTGAGTAGAAAGCTGAATAACTTCAGTGTTCGTTGAATGGTTATTTATAAAGTTACACTTTACAATATTTCAAAACTCAAAAGCCAAATTTGGGTTCACTCCCTTGAGGGCTGGAAAGAACTGGCAAGCACACTACACTGTTGGTCAAGACCCTGAAAAGCCCTCTCCCCAGCCTGCCCACTAGGAGGGCTAACACCTCCAGCCTCCTTCAGGATGCCAGCGAACTGATGGCCAAGCTCGCACCACACCTTGTCAAACTGCCAAGCCAAGTCGTTCAACGAGACAATTACAAAAACAGGCTGCAATTTGTTGGTGACAGTTAAAATAGAACCAGAAAGAAAAGCAACATGGATCCATGGATGGAGGAGAAAAACACTGGCTCCACAATTTCTAGAATGGTCAGAAAACAATTAGAGAAAGCTGACTTTTGCTGGACTTTGTGAACAAACATACAGTCAAATATTTACTAACAAATATGACGCTAAGCACACATTACCTCATTGTCAGATGTCCTGGTTAAAATCCCAATCTAGAATATAAGGGGAAAAAATCCTTAGAACAGATTGTTTTCACTTCAAATACAATGATTGAAACAGTTGTAATATTTTCGCTTCTCAGTTCACACTGTTTTTAAGTGCTCTGGGAGTGCAGTCCTAGATCATCACCCTGTAAGGTCTTTTACTACAAGGAAGCTGTACCTACAGAGAGCTAACTGTGTTCACTATTTCCATCATGAGGCAGTAATGGATAATGACCATCACTATTTCCTCTATCAAAATGCTGCAGTCATTTTCACTGAAACCCAACAAATTGCCTGGGAAGAGAGAGAGGGAGAAGAGCTTTGACTCATCATTTCTGGGTCTATTTCCAAAACAGTAGCCGAGGAGGGGTAAAGACAGTTTTATGGTGACCATAATAACTAAACATTCCAAACAGAAAATACAAATAACAAACATTCTGCTGAAAGTTCAAAAGGAGAAAGAAGAAATACACTTTTGATACAATGTTATGACATTAATAAATACTAATTTGAGGTTTAAATTAATGAAAAAGAAAATGTAATTTCAGACACATTAAAGTACTGCCAGGTTGCTTTTGTGGATTAAGATTTCAAAAGCAGATAGTCATGAATACTGATTTCAGGTTATTGTTCAAAGTGGAAATGCATGTGCTTGGGCACAATAACTTAAGGAAACTTGGAAATTCAGTTTCAGTGGATTCTGATACCCACAGATCACACCAATAAACAGTTTTCACAGATTCTAAATAATTTCCTCCACAGCATTACTCTCAACAGTGAACAGAGTATCAACAGAGTGTATGCTAATGAATGTCATGCCCACCTAGCTGTAAAAGAATCTTTTATACTACTTTTTTTTTTAATAGAACCATAATTTTCTACTCACTGAAGCAGGAGTAGCAATTAGTCTTTCTCTTTTAGTTAAAAGCTGTTTATGGTAACATGCCAATCATTTAATTTTATATATTCAAATATGACTACATTTGGCAAGAGAAACTACGAGCATGGATCTATATTCTGCCTCCCCACCCTTATCCAGTGACTCCCTGGTTACGGTTTGAGAATGTATTATAGCACACAGACCCACAGAGGAATGGTAGTAGATAAATGGAAGGAAAAAAATCAACATACATAATTTCAACATGTTCTCATATGATGCTAATGAGCGTAAACTGATATGGCCCTTTTAGAAAATAATTTGGCAATAAAGGTCAAGAAACTTGAAAACATTCATGTCTTTTGACCTAATAGTTCTAACCCTGAGACTGTATCCTGAAGACATCATCCGAGATGCAGAAAGAACCTTATGCACAAAAGGAGATGCTATTTAAAATAGCACAAATTATAACCAGTGTCCAATCATAGGTTAACTAAGGTATATTCTATATAGAATACTATGCAATCAAAAACTAAGTTTATACAGAGTTCTAATAATAGGATAAATATTTATGTGTTCACATTACCTTAAAAGATTTGAAATGATATGTAGCACAGTATCAACCAGGCATGAAATTTTGCAGGAAAAATGTTAACAGTAGTTGCTTGAGTATTCAAGAGAATGTCAACTTTTTTCTTCTTTAATTTTCTGTAGTTTTAAATTATCTACAATGTACATGTATTCTCTTTATACATAAAATATATATACTTAAAATTCTATGAATGCTCTTTAATTCCAGCAAGAAGCAGAAATTTGTATTATTCTGTGCCTTTTCTTTCTTGAGGTTACTGACATCTTTGATTACAATGAACTGATAGGTGGCTGAATGCTCAAATTACCCTATTAGGTATTTTAATGACAAATAATATGCATTCAACTACCAAACTGTCACAGAGTTAGAAATAGTAAGTTTCTTTCTGATGTAACTTGTTCAGCCCCAAGGTGCTTAAACCAAAGTAATCTTCTGAGGACTTGTAAGATGAGCTTCCTTAGTCAATCAATTAACTTTAAAATGGGCACAGACTTGCTCCTTACACCCAAAAGGAACATGACAGAAAGGACACACAGAGCTGCATGCTTAGTCAGTGAAGTTCACTAGGGGTAGGTGGGGAAAGACAAGGGGATAAAAAGAAAGGCTGAAAAGGAGAAATGTCAAGGAAGGCAAAACACCATCACTCTTATATCTCTGTGATCTCCAGGCTGGTTTTGGCAAGAATCGCCACGCACAGGAGGAAGGAGAGTTACGTGCTGAGACCCTGTCCCTGGCCTGCAATACTCTCCTCGTGCCTTGGACTCCTATTCACTTCTGAACCCCATCCATATTACCTCTTCTGCGGCATCCTCCCCGCGCCCTCCAGCAGCTTTCTCTGTGATCCCACAGCGCTCCACAAATGTCTATCCATGATTGTATTCCATTAGAGTGAAAGCCACAAAAACTGACTGTGAAAAATGAAAGGAGGCCAGTCACGTCTTGGTTCTCTAATCCTGACCATCAGAGACAACACCCACAACTAGGGTGCATGGAAAATGTGGCACCTCAAGTGTACCTAAAATCATGGGCAGAATTGTGAATTCAAGAAAGTCAAGGAGAAGGAAAGAGGAGTTGAAAGGCAAAAGTATGTGAGTATTGAAATGATGGGGGTAATGGATACACAGATATCAAAAGAAATAGCTTGAACGAAGAGAGGGAAGCAAAAATGCCAAGAACATTATCAGGGAAGAGCTCAATTTGGCTTTGTATGAGGAAATGTAGAAGACAGGGCTAGACAGGTAGTCTGGAAAAGGTATCTACACACCTTGAACAAATGAGTGGATTATATTCTATAGATAACAGTGCTACCAGAAGTCTAAAGCGAGAGAGTGCATTATCAGTAATATACTCTAGGAAAATTATTCTGATAACACCTTATAAGGTGGGTGGGAGGAAAGAGACCCTTGCGAGATGCAGACAGAAATCTGTGAACAAAAGAAATCAAGGCCATGTACAGAGATGCTAACTGGACAGACTACTTAAAATAACACTGACTTCCAATCTCAAGCACAAATAAAGTCATCATCACTCATGCCCCAAGAGTGCTCAGTACTAAACGTTTCCCACATCGCTGGGAAGTCCTTCTCACTTACATACGGAAGAATCAAATAAAAAGACAGTCCTCAATTTTCAGCAACCAACATTAATGACTCAAATACACCAGTGTTGCCAACTCCCAGCACTTCAGAAAGGCAAGCAGTAAACAGATGAATTGATGTCAGCTGATCTATTTTCTGACACCAATCAGATCACAAGGACATGGTCCCAGATACCTTGGGTTCCATCCTAGTTCCATCACTTACCAAGTGTATGACTTCAGCTGAGTTTTTTCACCTCTCTGCCCCCCCAGTCTCATTTACAAAACAGAGACATGATAGTATGTACAATCTCATAGGATCTGTATGAGGACTGACTGAGGTAACATACTAAAAGTCCTCAGCACTGTGGCCGGCCCATGATCACTACAATCACTACTGTTGTATCAGCACTCTTCCCGGTCTAGTCTGGTCCAACAGTTACTCCCTCCACCACCAACTCTACTGCTTAGTGCAAGTGTGAGACGAGCAAAGGAACAGGTATAGGAAAGGAGAAAGAGACAGGAGAGAAACAAGAAATCAGACCAAGAGGGAGAACCGTGTGACCGGGTCAATGAGACAGACTCTGAAGGGAAATCCAAAGATGAGTAGGGGGAGGTGCTTTCCCAGGTGGTCCCTGAACAGATGTCAACATTCAGCTATGTGTGTTGAATGTACCCTCTAGGCAGTCAGCTTCTCCTAGCCAGAGGCAATGTGCAGGACTCATGTCTGGGATTCAGACCTGTGATCAGAGGGTCACTCTACAGGATCATCCTGTGAGCATGGTGTCCACGCAAGTCACAACTCTAAGTGTGGTTTTATGTGTTTTTGCTTTTCTAAAAATTTTAATCCTTTTTTGCTCCCCATATTTTACTATGAAAATTTTCAAACACACAGGAAGTTGGGGATAAAAAGTTTAAGAAATGTCTGTATATCCACCATCTACATTTAATAATTAACATTTTGCTACATTTGTTTTATTTATCTGTGTGTGTGTATACAGATATATACATGTATATATATGTATACATATATACACATATGTATTTTTTTTCTGAACAATCTGAAAGTAAATTGCATATACTGGGATACCTAAGTACTTTGGTGTTTATCTCCAAAAATTAAGATATTCTCCTAAATAATCATAATACCAGTATCACATCTAGGAAAAAGAATAATAAACTGAGTTTCTAACACTGTTAAAATGAAATGGAGCCTATATACATCTTGAAAATAAAAGCTGGTTTGTATGCTTTACTATCAGGGATGCCCTGAATCAGATGTGAGGTAAATCTAAGAAGGACCATGCCTTACTCATCCATTGCATCAGTGAGCTACAGGAAGGGTAAAATCAAGTGCTAAGGACAGGTCTCACGAAAGCACCATGGCTCACCTCAAGATCTTCAAGAAAGGCTTGTAAAAATGTACCTAATAAGCCATATTTCTAATTATAAGGGTTTTTTCCCCCTCTGATTTCTCCTTTCCTAGATTTTCTAAGTTTTTCTTACAGTGGGCAGAATATTATAATTAGAAAATGTTTCTTGACATAACTTTGAAGTTACCTGAAGTAATTAATAGCTCCAATATAGACAGATGTTTCTTCACCTTCTGAATCACTGCAGTTAAATATAAGGCAAGAAATATAAGGTTGTAAGATAACTTGGCAGTATACTGCCTCGTGGAATATAACTAACCTGATGAGCTTCTGTATTACATATATGTTGTAAAGCTTTATACTGTCTAAGAACCATAAATTGGTTTAAAATGGTATTTGTAGGGTGCCTGGGTGGCTCAGTCAGTTAAGCGTCTGACTTCGCTCAGGTCACGATTTCACAGTTTGTGAGTTTGAGCCCCGCACAGGGCTCTGCACTGACAGCTCAGAGCCTGGAGCCTGTTTCGCATTCTGTGTCTCCCTGTCTCTCTCTCTCTCTCTCTCTCTCTCTCTCTCTCTAGTAAATAAATAAACATTTAAAAAAAATTTTTAATGGTATTTGGGGTCATTTCTATGGAAAGTTAGACATTCAAGCCCTTGGTCAGAAACATAACCTATAGAAAAACAGAATCACACCTTAAATTTGACTTACTTGATCTTTTCCAGGAATACAGCCTTTACCATGGGGAAGTGTCATGGAAAATCAAAGGAAATTTAATGAAATAGCTTTTTCAAGGAGCCATCCTGACTACCCCTTGCTTTTTCTAGAACACATGGGTAATACCTGTTTTACACTGACATGTAATTTAGATGGTTAACAGCAAACACTAGGTTAAGGCCTTACCAATTATCGTTAAAGAAGAAGAAGGAGGGGGAGGGGGAGGGGGAGGGGGAAGGAGGAGTGGAGGAGGAGGAGGAGACACTTACCAGACTGGTGCTGTGAATAGGCTCCAGCACAGCCTTGGTTGAGGCTTCTTCCTGGCCCCCTGCATTCATCCCAGTGGGATTTTCCTGGGCTGGCCCAACCCCCTGCCCGATGCTTGTACTCTTCAGCTTATCTGCAATTCGCTGGTTTTCTTTCTCCAGCTTGATTTTGGCTAACTGTGCTTCCAACATCCAATGCTCTTTTTCCTGCTCCAGTTTAGAAATCTTTTCCAGACTCTGCTGAACCTTGAAAAGCAATAGAGTTCTGCACCTTAGAGGATGATGCAGACAAAACTTAGTGGCTAAAGACAGGCTTCACAGCACATCAACCCAAACTGCCTCCCAGAAATAAAATTTAAAAAGCCTGAACGTTACGCAGAGAAAAGGAAATATTGTTAAACAAGATTCACAAAGCACAACCAGAAACTGAAAAATTGGATGACAGTAAAATTAAAAATCTTTACTCATCGAAAGATATCATCAGGGCACCTGGGTGGCTCAGTTGGTTGGGTGGCCGACTACAGATCAGGTCATGATCTTGTGGTCTGTGAATTCGAGCCCCGCGTCGGGCTCTGTCCTGAGTGCTCAGAGCTTGGAGTCTGCTTCTAGTTCTGTCTCCCTCTCTCTCTCTGCCCCTCCCCTGCTTGCTCTCAGTCTCTCTCTCTCTCTCAAAAATAATAAACAATAAAAAAAAATTTAAAAAAAGAAAGATATCATTAAGAGAGTGAAAAGGAAAGTCACAAAATGGAAGACATCCGCAAAGCATGTATCCAACAGAAGACTAAACATGTAGAATATATAAAGAACTTCTACAAATTAGTAAGAAAAAGACAACCCAATAGAAAAATAGGGGGGGAAAAAGACTTGAATAGGCACTGAACAAGACTAAAAACATAAAAAAAGAAGGTATTCAATGTCACTATTATCAAAGCAAAGCAATTTGAAACCACCCAAATGACTAAAATTAAAGGACAGAAAATACAGGAGCACCTGGGTGGCTCAATCGGTTAAGTGTCCGACTTCGGCTCAGATCAATCCCGTGGTTCACAAGTTCAAGCACTGTTGTCAGACTCTGTGCTGACAGCTCAGAGCCTGGAGCCTGCTTCGGATTCTGTGTCTCCCTCTCTCTCTGCCCCTTCCCTGCTCACACTCTGTCTCTCTCTCTTTCAAAAATAAATAAAACATTTAAAAAAATTTTTTAAAAAGAAGAAAACACAAAGGTGGGCATGTTTGTGGAGCAACTGGAACTACCAGATAGTGCTAGCAGGACTGGAATTTGGGACAAACACTTTGAAAAACTGTTTGGCTGGATCTTTAAAGCTGAAGACATCATATCCTATATGACCCAACAATTCTATTTCTATGTATGTAACCCGATGCACATTTACCAGAAGACATATGTAAGGATGTTCACAATAGCACTATGATAGCCAAACACCTGAAACTACCCAAATATTCATAGGCAATAAAAAAGAATAATGCATATTCACCCAGTAGAATACTAAACAACAATGAAAATGGACAGATTACAATTACACATAACACGGATGAATATTACAAATATAATGTTGAATGAGAGAAGGCAGACCTGAAAGAATATATATTATATAATCTCAATGAATGAAAAGTTTCGTTTACTGAACTTTTCACTAATCTATTGTGTTAGAACACAAGATGATGGTTTTCTTTGGGGGCAAGGAGGAAGGCGAGAAAGGGGCATGAGGAAGGCTGCTGAACTCCTAGTATTTTTTTCTTAAAGGAATACTTTACATACAGAAGTGTTCTTTTTAAAAATTTTTACTGAGATGCTAGTTACGTCAGTATGTTTGCTTGTGAAAATTCACTGGGATACACAGTTGGCCCTTGAACAACATGGGTTTGAACTACATGGATCCACTTATATGTGGATTTTTTTTCAATAAATACGTACAATATTGTAAAAGTATTTTCTCTTCCTTATGATTTTAATAACATCTTTTCTCTAGCTTACTTTATTGTAAGAATACAGTGTATGATACATAAAATACACAAAATATGTGTACATCGGATATTTATGTTATCAGTAAGGCTTCCAGTCAACAATAGGTAATTAGCAATTAAGTTTTGGGGGAGTCAAAAGTTTACACGAATTTTCAACTGTGCAAGGGGATCAATGCCCCAGCCCCCTTGCTGTTCAAGGATTAACTATACATTAATAATTTGTGTATTTTTTTAAAATTATGTTATACTCCATTCAACAAGAAGTCTAAATATATTAATTCACAGGGCAAATGAAAGCTTGAGAATTACATGAAAATAAAAACAATCTTACAGTGAATTCCAAATGCTTTACCGGCTATCATGGTTGAGCAATTACCATGCAGCAGACACTGTTCATGGTACTTTCCTGCCAGGATCCCATTGAAGCCTCACAGTCCTTCAATTCTCATTTCCCAAAGAGGGGAACTAAAGCTCCCAGCAGCTGAACCACCTGCTAAGCTAGCAAATGGCAGAGCCAGGATTTGGATCCCATGTGTCTGGCTGTCTGGCTCACAAGTCTGATTCTTTTCACTATATCACACTGCCTCCCATTGGCTCAGTTAATGCTTACAAGGCCCTGGAAGGCAGATCTTAGACTCACTCTTTTCAGAGAGACAGGAAGTCACACCCAGAGTGCTTATCAGACTAGCCTACAGCTGGTCAATGGGGGAGGGGGGGGCAGTGCTGCAATAGCTCTGAAACCAGACAGTTCTCCCACTTACTAGCTACCTTGGGTAAAAGCTGCTTAATTTCTTTAAGCCTTACTTTCCTTACATAAAGTAAAAAGAAAATTGAAACTGAAAATCAACTTTTAAAGTATTCAACATTTTATTTTTGTCCCAAGAATTTTGTTTTTTAGGAATGACTCTCTGGATTAAATGTTTACTTCCAGGGGCGCCTGGGTGGCGCAGTCAGTTAGGCGTCCGACTTCAGCCAGGTCACCATCTCGCGGTCCGTGAGTTCGAGCCCCGCGTCGGGCTCTGGGCTGATGGCTCAGAGCCTGGAGCCTGTTTCCGATTCTGTGTCTCCCTCTCTCTCTGCCCCTCCCCCGTTCATGCTCTGTCTCTCTCTGTCCCAAAAATAAATAAACGTTGAAAAAAAAAATTAAAAAAAAAAATAAATGTTTACTTCCAACATCCTAGCTCATTTAATGTCAAAAACACAAAAGGACAGCAGACAAAAGGATGTGTCAGGTGAATCTATTTGCACTCTCTTTAAAATAAGTATTTCCTGGGGCGCCTGGGTGGCGCAGTCAGTTAAGCGTCCGACTTCAGCCAGGTCACGATCTCGCGGTCCGTGAGTTCGAGCCCCGTGTCGGGCTCTGGGCTGATGGCTCAGAGCCTGGAGCCTGTTTCTGATTCTGTGTCTCCCTCTCTCTCTGCCCCTCCCCCGTTCATGCTCTGTCTCTCTCTGTCCCAAAAATAAATAAACGTTGAAAAAAAAAAATTAAAAAAATAAAATAAAATAAGTATTTCCAAAACTTAACGCAAACCTGCTGTTGAAGTACGTCTCTGACAAAAGCTAAACCAGTGTCAGTGTGTACCAACTTCCCTCCCACCTCCACCTAGCCCCCAAATTCAATTGACCAACTAACTGAATATTGGAAATTTTTTGTTCCTGATCATTTAAGAAATAAATAACTCATGGAGTCTCAAGCTCCTCCCCCTTTTTTGCCTTATTAGTTCAGACTTTTAAATCTAGTGCCTAGAGAAAGAAAGAATCACCATGGCCAAAGTGTGTTGATATTACCTGAGTGGCAATTATAACACCAACTGAATCAAGATGACTTATTTAGAGTATCAACAGGGGCGCCTGGGTGGCTCAGTGCTGACAGCTCAGAGCCTGAAGTCTGCTTCGGATTTTGTGTCTCCCTCTCTCTCCGCCCCTCCCCTGCTCCTGCTCTGTCTCTGTCTCAAAAATAAATAAAAACATTAAAAAAAATAAAATAAAAATAGAGTATCAACAAATGTTCTTCAATGAATTATGCTTATGGTGCGTTTTAGCACATGTTAAACAATTAATTTTACATGTTCACTTATAAAGTCTTTTATATTGTTCTGTGTTAAAAGCCTTCTCCAGGGGATTTAACATTTATGCTCCTTTAACAAGTAGCATGAGGCACCATACCTGTTGTGCAAGGCCTTCTCGACTTTCAGTAGAGCTGAGAAGGACCCGGCGGTTTGCCAGAGCTTCTTCGTAAGGCACAGACTCCAAGAGGGGCTATGGAAAAGGCAGCAGAAGAATTAAAGGAAAAGATCATATCATTCCTGAATCCTATGTACACAGAAAGAATGTTAAATGGGGTTCAACAATAAATTCAGACATATGCCAACATTCACTATTTCCTTTTAATGATGTCACAGGGACCTTTTTTAAAGAAAAATAACGAAGAGGGACTTGTCATTCCAGTTATAATCTACACTAACTAAAAGCATATGGACCTATACCAAATACCATATGATTTCACTTCTATGTGAAATCTACAAAACAAATTAAAGAAAAAAAAAAAAAAACAGAAACAGACTCAGATACAGAGATCAATCAGGTGGTTGCCAGATTGGGGAGGGGTGGGGGGTGAGAGCATGGGCAAAATAGAGAAAGGGGATTAAAAGATGCAAACTTCCAGTTATAAAATAAATAAGATACAGGGCAGGATGCACAGCATAGGAATATAAATAGTAAGTAACAACTTTGCATGGTGACAGATGGTAGCTACACTTGTCTTGGTGATCACTCTGTAATGTACATAAGTGTTGAATCACTATGTTGTATACCTGTAACTAATATAATATTGTATGTCAATGACATCTCAATTTGTTTTTTTAAAGCAGATTGTCAGAGAGGCAGAAATAAAGATCACTAAGGGGCATTGTCTTGACTGTGCTTTTAAGGGTGTAAACATATGTCAAAACCTATCAAATTGTATGCTTGAAATATATGCAGTTTTTTTATGTCAATTAAACCCCCCAATAAAACTTTCCGAAACAAACACATGAATAAACAGATAAAGGAAGAGGACAGAATATCTAGAAACAGACAAAAGCATACACAAAAACATATTATGTGATAAATGCTGGGTTGTTTTTTCTTTTAAGTCAATAGAGAAAGGACAGACTGGATAAAAGCCACAAGGATAACCAGGTAATAATCTAGAAAAATAACTATTTAGATCCCTTTTTCATACCTCTATCAGAATGACTCCAAGATGGATTAAAGAATTCAATCTAAAAATTTAGACCATGAAAGTAATGGAAGAAAATGTAGGTGATCATTTCTGTAATCTTGAAAAGTACCCCTGGCCAAGAATCACCACCATAAAGAAAAAGATTGATTTAAAGACATAAAAATTAAAACTTCTATTTTGAAAAAATACGACAGCAAACTGGAGAAAAAATACTTCTAACACAGGCACAGGATTAACATTCTTACTATATAGGGAGCTCTTTCAACCCTAATTAGGAACATTTATCTAAAAATAGATCAACGATGAACAGAGAATTGACAGAATAAATACAAACAATAACTTTATGAAAAGACGTACCACTTCAATAAGCAAAGGAATGCCAATTAAAATAATAAGAAGCTTCTTGTCTAATTAATATTAAATTTATGGTTTAAATTTATACTTCTGCTGGTAAACTATAAATAGACAATCTTCCTGAAGTGTAGTCTGGAAAAATGTGTCCAAATTTGAAAGATTCACAGACTTTGTTTGAACCAGCAATTCCATTTTGGGAAATTAATCTTAAAGACATAATTAAAATAATTACACAAAGAGAGATTGGTAGCCTTATACAATGCTAGAAACATAAAACAGTACAGCTACTCTTAAGGACAATTTGCAACACATATTAAAATGTAAAATGTGCAAGCCACATGATTCAGAACATTCCACTACTCAATATTCCACACATGTGCCCAAGGAGGCATTTACAAAGCTATCACTTAAAGTATTATTGTAACAGTAAAAAACTGGAATGAACCTAAATGCCCACCAATAAGGAATATCTAAATGAGCCACAAAACATACATATTGTAAGATTCTATGCTGTATTTAAAAGGAATATAGTAGCCACCATATGTAATGATACAGACAGGTCTCTGAAACATTTTATTTGTTTTTAATTTTTCTTTGTTTCTTCATTTTTTTTAAGTATAGTTGATGCAGGCACCTGGGTGGCTCAGGCGGTTAAGCATCCGACTTCGGCTCAGGTCATGATCTCACAGTTTGTGAGTTCGAGCCCTGCATTGGGCTCTGTTCTGACAGCTCAGAGCCTGGAGCCTGCTTCTGATTCTGGGTCTCCCTCTCCCTCTGCGCCTCCCCCCACTTGCTCGTGCACGCTCTCTCTCTCTCTCAAAAATAAATAAAACATTAAAAAATATTTTTTTAAATACATAGTTGAAGAACAATGTTAGTTTCAGATGTACAATATGGTGATTCGACAATTCTTTACACCTAACAAAACATTTTTTTAATTAATTAATTTTTTTAAATAATCTGTATACACAATGTGGGGCTCAAACTCATGACCCTGAGATCAAGAGTCTCCCACGCTTCAAACGGAGCCAGTCAGGCACATCTAAGACACTTCAAATGAAAAAAATCAAGGCACCTGGGTGGCTCAGTTGGTTAAGTGTCCAACTCTTGCTTTCAACTCAGGTCATGGATCTCACAGTTCAGTTTGTGAGAGTGAGCCCCACAATGGGCTCTGCTCTAACAGCACACAGCCTACTTGGGATTCTCTCTCTCCCTCTCTCTCTCTGTCCCTCCCCCACTCACACTCTTTCTCAAAATAAATAAAACATTTAAAATAAATAAATAAAACTTAAAAAGTCAAAAAAAAAAAAGAAAAAAATCAAGTTGCCCAATGAAACAAGCATTTCAGTTGAAAAAAGAAAGAAAATTCTATACATTGTATATTGTCTATAAGTTTATACAGATGCATAAATGCTCCAAGATTCTGGAAGGTTATACACCAAACTGATAGCTATAATGACCTCTGGCGAGAGAGTGGAATTAGGGACTATACATGTAATGCTCTAATGTAATATAAGAATATGTTTAGGCATTATTTGTACCTAAAAGTAAAAAAAAAAATAAGGAGGAAAAAGGTAAAAAATGCACAAAGTTAGAGTTGCATGTGCAACAATATCTACTGTTTCTCCGCATATAACAGTGAAAAATAGGAAACAACCTAAATATCCATGAGCAATGGATTAGTTAATTAAATTATCACACACAAAATGAAATACTATAGATTTAATACTATAGAGGTATTAAAATGATAACAATTTACATTTATAGAAAGTATTATTTGATGTATTAAAAATCACAATTTTTATATCCACAAAAACAATATTCTAAAACAGTGTATGTCAATGGACTATCAGCCATCAAAAAGAATGAAATCTTGCCATTCCAACAATGCAGATTGAGCAAGAATGTATTCTGCTAAGCAAAATAAGCCAGTGAGAGAAAGACAAATACCATATGATTTCACTCATATGTGAAATTTAAGAAACAAAACAGATGAACATAGGAGAAGGGGGAAAAAAGAGAGAGAGAGAGGGAGGCAAACTATAAGACACTCTTCAACTACAGAGAACTGAGAAATGATGAGGGGAGGTAGGCGGGGGATGGGCTAATTGGGGGATGGGCATTAAGGAGGGCACTTGTGATGAGCACTGGGTGTTAAATTTAAGTGATGAATCACTAAATTCTACACCTGAAACCAATTTGACCATATATCCTAACTAGAATTTAAATAAAAAATTGAAATAAAAAAGTAAAACGAAATAGAAGGGTATGTATCCAGATACACTTTGCTTTTTATAGCACATACATGTATGTGTTTCCTTGTGTGCGTGTGTACACACATGCACTAAAGTTTTTTGGATACAGATATACTCCAACAAAATTAAGGGTAGCTACCTCTGGGGGGTGGGAATTGGTGTGTGATTTTCTTCTTCTTTATGCACTGTTACACCTTCTGATTTCTGCTTGCAATGACCTTGTATTCTTATACTCAGGAAAAAATTATAAATGTATTTCAATTTTTTTCTATTTCTACAAGTTTGAGATTTCTGAAGTTTGAGATTTATTGGCTGCCTGGCTGCCTCATTCTAGACACTTGGGGACATGAATTCAACATGGCCTATGCATAGATCACACATTAATTGAGGTTTGGGTCTCTGTCACCTTCTCCTCCCCAAAGACCTCCCCCAATACTCACCAACCACCTGTGCCCCCAACTGTGTAAAATCTAAACAAAACGAAATGTGGAAAAACTCTTGCCCTTCTCTGGAATGATTCCTGATTTTTCCTCTGAGGTTAATTTAACAGGAGCTCACAAACCTTTCTCAGAGCCTTCATATAGGCGGCAGCTTTTTTCTTGTATTGCAGCATGCACTCAGCTGAAAGAGGACTAATGAAGCCACTCGCTGCCTTAGGCCCGTAGCTCAGAGAAGCAATGAAGTAGTCCACATTGTTGCTGAAGAAAGATGCAATCTAAATCAAGTGTGACAAGAAAACAGATTTTGTTTTCCAATCATGTATCTAAAATATAGACCTAATAGTTTTCGAAGCAAAGTTAAAGGTGCCGGAATGGAAATGAAATTTCAACACCTGCCAAAAGCCCACATTTATTTACTTGGGAAGAATTCCTAGGGCAATGATTTGTAATAGAAAGACAATACCAGTATAAAGATTGAGACCAGACTTCTGACATGTCTTAACCTAGACAATTTCTATTCTTTCTGAAAACCAAGACTGATTCGGGTTTATTCTGGGGATGATGTTCATGGGCCATTTACCTCATTAATTTCTGCCACTAGTCTCAAAATATGCATGTTTGGATTTATATATTCCATTTGTATTTTAACTTTGAATGTTTCCAATTCCAACATGAGACAGGACACAGCATCTTGAATATGATAACTCTACTTAAATTTAATTCTGTAAATCTCAATTTATGATCTACAAATATAATAAAGACTGTGTAAGCAGGCACAGAGACCCATGACTGAGCCATGACTTTGCATTTATAGTGTTGTATGAAATGGTGATATAAATAAAAATGTCTGAGAAGGTTATTAGCCAAAAAAATTAAAGTGCTGGATACATTAAAGAACATCCTATTTTGATAAATAAGAAGTGACTTATGGAACAAAGTATCCTACACCTTGGCAAAAATTGGCCAGAAAGTAAGCAAGCAATCACTAATGGTCTGAAAGATTTTATTTTTCATTAGTATTTTACTATGTCAAATGAAATTCTACACTAGGTAGTATTCAAGAAAATAAAGGATTCTATAAGTCTTGAGCTTTATATTCCTTGTAAATGACATGGATAATCATATACCCAGGATTTGCATTTTAGGTCATAGCAATATATGGTGAGGTTTACATTCTTTCCTCTTTCTAGTATTTGTACATTTTCTAAATGTTCTTCAATATGCATATGTTACATTTTCCTACTGGGCTTTTAAAAATTATATACCATAAAATTTAGTTTAATCAAATCACATTAGCTAGATATTAAGCTGCCACCAACTAACATTAGTTCAGATACTTACTTCAGTTAAAAACCATTTTTAGGGGTGCCTGGGTGGCTCAGTTGGTTAAGCGTCTGACTCTTGATTTTGGCTCAGGTCATGATCTCGTGGTTTTTTAGTTCATGCCCTGCGTCGGGCTCTACACTGACAGTGCGGGGACTGCTTGGGATCCTCTATCGCTCTCTCTCCCTCCCCCTCTGTCTCTCTCTTTCCCTCTCTCTCTCTCAGAATAAATAAACTTTAAAAAAAAACTTATAAAAATTGCACAATTTTTCACCATCAGATACCTTCCCTTGAGACATTTTAAGGTTTCAGCTAAAGCAAATCTAAAATTAGCTAATATAAAGGTATTTAATATTTCAGAATTTTCATAAAAGTTAGAAACTGCAGAAACGCCTCTAAAGGGCTAACATTCTCTTCTTCCAGAATTTTTCTTAATCAAGGTCAGAATTATCTTCAGAAAGCTTCAGCATGCCTGTAGATGCAAGCGATCAAGAGGGTACAGCTGGGATGGTCTTCTGGCTGAGGAACCCTGGAGGCACAGATCTGTGCGCTGACAGAACCCAAAGATAACACCCTCTAATTATGGCCCCAAGCACTGCAAAGTGTCACAAAGACCAGTCTGAGTCGGGGAAAGATGAGAAAGAGGACACTGAATATGTAATATGATTGGTGATCACTTCTGGTTAACTTAATTACCTGAAAAAAATGTGTTCCTGTTATGGGCAACCTGTCAGAAAAATAATGGTATATAAACACAGGTAGAAATTAACATTTCCTTGAGAAATTAGGTTGCATCCACAGAAATAAATGGGCTAAGATAGTTCTGAATACAGTCCTTTTGGTTACACATATATGGGTAGTTCCCAGAGAAATATGAATCAGTAAAGGTGCTGATGACAGCCACATGAACACATACTGACAATGTCACAGCTGCTGAAGCCAGAATATCCAAGACAGAATTTTTAGAGAAAATGTATTTTGGCCAGTTTATCATAATAATTAAGTGCTTAATGACCCAAATAATTATTATCTAATATTAATGGTTCAATGAAAAGACATATGTTCAAAGTCACCTTAAAAGTTCTTGTTAAGAAACAAAACCACAGAGGTAGCATTAGGACAAGTGTTATCAAAAAACAAAAAACCAGGAAGGAAAAAAACCAAAATATTAATGAAGGTTTTATTGGTTCGTTTTTCTTTTTATGTAATTTCCCAATTTCTATACAGCAGACATTTGATATATACAAAGATGTATACTGATCATCAAATATCTCACTAAAAAATAAACTGTGAGTGATCTACTTACTCATCACGAATGCTAAACAGTCACTCCCCTATTGCTTTAAATATTGGGCAGTGAGAAGGAAAAGGGAGACAACTTTATTTTACAAAAAAGTCTGATATTCCAAACTTCTTTTACAGATTAATTTTCCTATGTCATTTAAGGAAGGAAAAAAAAGGAGCTTACTTAAGAATTAAATTTAATGTCAATATAAACCAGAGAAAACTTACCTTTCCTGCTCCATTTGTTAATGCTACTACTGAGGACAGGATACAGTCATTAGTTGTAATGAGCTTCTGTGTTGCTGTTGGAAGTTCATGCTCTATTGTAGCTTTCTGATTGTAATGTTTAGAGATATCTATAAAAGCAATCAAATGAAAACTATTACCATCCATACACAAGTTGCATACAGATAACCAGCCCGTTCACTCTCATATCTGCTTTTAGAGATTTACACAGTAAATATGACCAAAAAATGGTCCCAAATATATTGGGATTGTCCTGAGTATCAACTAGGTCACAAATCCATGTGAAGAGAATAGAGCCAAGTGAGGGTCTCTTAACACCATCCTGATGTCTCTATTATAGTCACCAGCTTAAGGGTCTGATTCTCCCTCTTTCGAGTGTTTGCTCTTATTCTAGTGTTGAGTAAATGACCCTGACCAGTATTTACCAGTTAAAAACGCTGTTTTAATAGTCTGGCAGGCACAAATGAGAATTCATCTTGTACTTATATAAGCTAACCATGAGGCTGGAAGAGAATGACCAACACAATCTCCTGCAATCCTTACTGGACCTTAGTCAGTCTGCCAGTACACACCCTAACAAACACTGACAAGGATCTTCACAGCCAAACCGGGAGTGAATCCTCCAGTGTATGGCTTCACGTGCTACTGCCTCCAGTCCCAGAATATTACAACAAAGGCCTGTGGTTAGAAAAGCACAGGAGAGACTTAAATATAAAAAGCATGAGGAGAAATTGCAGTAGGTGAAACCGGCCAAATGACTTAAGGTTGGGGTTTTCTGGGTCTCTGAGAAAGAATGATTTTGTCCTGGAAATAAGGGATAATGGGAGAATCTTAAGACAACACTGATTTATAAGGAAGGGTAATTATATTTTTAAATAATAAAGTGTTTACAATTCATTCTCCTCTGAATTTTTTAGAATACTTCAGGTACAACAGCACTAATTATCCCTACCAACAAAGCTAAAAATAAATCACAAAATATGAAAATTAATTTTTATAATGGGTGTGTATGCAGAGAACTGCATTTATTCAGAATCAAGAAGTCTAGTTAATCCTAGATTATGGATAATTAAAAAGAAATAAGACTAGAAAGAAATGGTTTTTGAGATTTAACCTGATATGATCATGGTATTTTAACACAAAATCACTGTTTTATGAATAGAATTATTTTTACTAAAATTTTTAAACTGGGGAATTGTTTTAGTTATATATTTAATATACATATATGCACATATATGTAAACTTTTAGTTTTAGAGTCACAGAAAAGTTACAGAGACTTTTCTGGATACCTTTTAGCCAGTTTTCCCTGTTGTTAACACCTTACATTACAGTTGCCACAGCAAAAGAATCAACTAATTAGTATATTACTGTTATATTTACGTTTTCAAAAATAAATGATTATCCTCTATATATTCATAAGATACCCAAGTGAATAAAAATTCGACTGGCGGCACCTAGGTGGCTTAGTCAGTTGGGCATTAACTTCAGCTCAGGTCATATCTCACAGTTCATAAGTTCGAGCCCCACACTGGGCTCTGTACTGAGAGCTTGGAACCTGGAGCCTGCTTCGGATTCTGTGTCTCCCTCTCTCTCTGCCCCTCCCCCCACTTGCTCACATGCACGCGCTCACTCTCTCTCTAAAATAAACATTAAAAATATTTTTTTGATTTGAACACTGAACACTCTTATATACTGAACTTGCTAGCCCCTAACACAGACATTTTCTCTCTATACACCACAGAAAGGTTTGGTCGCAATTTTGCTAGAAGTACACAAACTATAATACAACTTGGCTGGCAGTAATCTTAGGTGATCAGCAGGTGACTGGGATACTTAATGAAAGTCATATAATACTATGAATACTTACATGGCTTCTACTGGACTTGTGCCACTGCAGTTTGACAATAGTAATTCTCCTAATCAAATTGTGTACTCTTTATCAAGTCGAAATATTTCAATTATTTAGGGTGTTCCTTGACATTAAATTTTAAATCCAAAAAGAACAAAGAAATCATGCAACCTAAGCCCAGAGATTTATTTTTCTCTTATGTTTCCTATGAGTCTACCTGCTTTACACCTGAGACTAAAAATCAACAATTCTCAGGGAGCCTAGGTAGCTCAATCAGTTAAGCATCCAACTCTTGATTTCAGCTCAGGTCATGATCTCACAGTTCATGAGTTCAAGCCCCACATCAGGCTCTGAGCTAATAGCGCAGAGCCTGCTTGAGATTCTCTCCACCCCCCCCCCTTTTGTGCTCACGCTCTCTCTCAAAAAAAAAATAATAAACTTTAAAAAAATAACAATTCTCCCTCAGAATTCACTTGTTAAAAGATTAATTCACTCCCGGGGCGCCTGGGTGGCGCAGTCGGTTGGGCGTCCGACTTCAGCCAGGTCACGATCTCGCGGTCCGGGAGTTCGAGCCCCGCATCAGGCTCTGGGCTGATGGCTCAGAGCCTGGAGCCTGTTTCCGATTCTGTGTCTCCCTCTCTCTCTGCCCCTCCCCCATTCGTGCTCTGTCTCTCTCTGTCCCAAAAATAAATAAACGTTGAAAAAAAAAAAAAAAAATTTAAAAAAAAAAAAAAAGATTAATTCACTCCTATTTTAAATCCATTAGGACAGACATTTTAATATATCTCTAGGTCTCTTTTTACAATGACACCTGCCTGCCTTCTAACTTAGATCAAGCAATTATTCAGGGCAAAGCAGGAAGGGAAGAGGCTTGAAATGAGAGTTCTCTGAAACATAAAGCTTCTTCTGTTAATGCCAGTTGATATTCACTCTGAGTTTCCATGAGAGATACCCACCAGTCTTACAACTTAAGTAAAAAGACAGATTTAAACTGTAAACCTAGTAACAGGACCCCATAATCTTGCCAACCACCCTTCATGTTTCCCAATATTCTCTCTCTACGTTATGTTTTCAAGGACAGAAACAAGTGGAGGAACTAAGGGGGTTCAGGGTGGGGGGTGCCTCTGATCCTCCCATAAGTTCCATTAGCTCATGTCCCAAATAACAAACAGTAACATTCTTAGATTTGGACCACTTGGTGTCTTAATCTTATGTAATGTTTGAATAAAAGCATCTGAATAGGGGTGTCTGGCTGGCTCAGTTGATGGAGCATCTGAGTCTTGATCTCAGGGTTGTAGGTTGGAGCCCCATGCTGGGTCCAGAGATTACTTAAAAAAAAAAATCTTAAAAAAAAGAAAGCATCTGTATAAAACTCTGTATATTATAGATTAATTAAAATAGAAATATAAATAAAATCGAGATTTTTTTTTTAACGTAAAGGAAGCTTTAAGACCCCTCTTATTGGATAGCTACCCTCCACTGCTCTCACCCATTCTTTATAGGAATGCTGGAGAAACTGCTAGCAAGAACAAATAATAATATCAGCATAGCAAAATTTAGAAACTAAAACCAAAAACTGGAGCAACAGCTACCTATGGTTTCAATGGCCTAGCTCTGGGTTAACTAAAGTCCTGGAAGAGAGGACCATAGCTAGGTTTTAACTTCCCAAACCAAAAGCTGCACAGGAAAAAGGCAACATGCCCTTAGGTCCTCTACAGAGCAGACTAGTTCTGCTGGGTTTGGGCTGACTCTTGTCATCTGCCACCAAGACTGTCTATTCAAGCTGTGATTCCTACAGCCACGGCTAGCCCTAGAAGTACAGTGATTTTTTAAATTCCTTATAATTGGAGACGATCCACAGAAAGGTATATTCTCCATACTGAATGGTAAGACAGTGCTAGCTAATACTGCTGACACTAAGACTGAATGATTCCCAGTGCTGGAGGTTACATGCGAACCTACAAGAGAGCCTGAATACACCCATCTTGTACATGCTTTCCAACAGCCTTAAGGTTTTAAAATTATTTTCTGTGAAACTAGTAACTGGTCCCTAATTGTTACCTAAGTACCACAATGAATAATCTAGGCTATTATTAATCTGGGCTATTTCCAATAATTGCTTCTGCCCTTTCCTCCTTCTCCTACCCCAACTCTCTTCAAAAGGAAAAGAAGAAAAAAACCTAGAAGCCATGCAGACCCAGATTGAAAAGTCGACTCAGGATCACAGTTAGCTAAGAAGCATATGAAATGTCCTTCAGCCGACTATATTCTTTGTACACAGCAATTAAAAACTAATCAAAGCTTAAAACCAGACCTCCACTCCTTAAGTCTCCCCTGAAGAAAACAGGCCTTAAAATGGGTGCTTTATTTCATTTTATTTTTTTGAGAGAGAGAGAGTGGGTGCAAGTGAGTGACGGGCAGAGACAGAGAGGGAGAGAGAGAGGAGGGAATTAAAATGGGCACTTTAAACTTAAAAATGCACAGGATGGTGGAAAGTGAGTACATTCTTTCTTGGAACTTTAAACGCTGGATTCCTCAACTCCTTCATGCTTGGGCTCTAACAAGTGCAAAGTATTTTGCTAAATGCCTCTGAATAGCATGTCTGGCTTGATAAAATTCACACACCTGCCTTAAATCAGTGCAATGTATTTTTGGCCAAAGTACTGTGCACAAGGGTTTCTCTTCAGCACTGTGTTTACCTTCTGAAATGAAGCAGATGGAAAAAACAGAAGGCAGTGAGCTGCGCACTTCAACATAAGCCAAATGCTACTAAGCCTTTTTCTGGGGTCTATTAGCCTTGGTGGTATTGGTTTAATCTCATTTGGGCAGATCTGAGAAAATGAGATGAAGGTTTTCAGCTTATTTATGTTCTTTCCAAACCTCACCTTTCATGACATCATGAAATCCATGCAGAGCAGCACCAACATTTGTTAAGACAGAACTATAGTTCGTCCGAAGGAGTCCATCTGGCTCTGTACCTAGGAAACCAAAATCACAAGCCTAAGCATTTTCCCAGAAGACTTCACCTAAAAACCTGAGAGCTCACCTGCCTCCTCTACTCTTGGGAAGAGAGAAAATAAAGATGGCTTGTGATATGTTGGAAATAATGGCTCCTGAAGTCTTTGCAAACACATTCAGATAGAAGAGTGATAAATATACATCCAACTCATCTGCATTACCCATATCCACAAATATTTTTAATGGTTAAGAACCAAAATTACATTGTTAAGTAGGATTACATATTTTATGATTCTTCTTGCAATAAAAGTTGAATTTTCACCTTGTAAATTCAGGACACATTTCTCAATTTCTCCTTTCCCTATACATGATTATTAGTTGAACATCACTAAAAACACCATTATTCAAATATCAGAGCTCCACTTCTGGCATGACAGCATGAGCAGTTCCACAGGCCCTCTGAGCTCACAGCATGGAGCCTGCTTGGGATTCTCCCTACCTCTCTCTCTGCCCCTTCCGTGCGCACAGGTGCAGATGCTCTCATGCGTGTGCTCTCTCTCTCTCTCTCTCTCTCTCTCTCTCTCT